CCCCCCCGAGCCGCGGCCTCCTGCCCGCGCTGAGGGGAGGGCAGCCCGGCCCAGGGCGGCACAGGCCGCTCTGGGGGAAGGGAAAAACGCCTCGAAGCAGGCGGAAACATCGTTTGAAATGCCAGGGTTGCTCAGTTCTGTCACGTTGGACAGTCCAACAAAGCAGGCAGGCGCTTGGCGCTGGCGGGGCTGCGTGTGGAGGTGGGACGGTGCTGGAACGGGCCGGCTTCTGGGGAGCCCTGAGCTCAGCGTCCTTTCCCTTCCCTGCCCTTGCTGATGGCCCCCAGGACTCACACACACACACGCACAAAAAGAAAGAAAGAAGCTCCAATCTTACAGGAACTGCACCTCCCAGCTGCTACCGAGGCCGTAGGCTGCACCGTGTGCTTTTGTAACCTAGTAGTAATAACAACAGACCTTTCTTTTAACTACCAGGAAAACTGTTTGATTCCTGCAAAAATGACAAATAAACAGTATGAGCGATGTGATTATTTTGGAGGAAGAGCAAAGACAGTTTTGGGACTGTGCTTTGCCAAGGACTACCTGCACGCCGAGGAGGGCCGAGCAGGAAATCAGAAGGCAGCAGGCTGGCAGCCAGTGGCAGTGCTTCCTGGAAGAGAGCTGGGTAGAAATAGGGAATTTTCTGACCCAGAACTTGACTCCAGAGAGATTAAACTTTATTCTTTGCTTTTGAAATAGACTGAAGCAAGCAAACCTTGCTTCTTCGGTTGGCCAAAGTCGATATTTAGTTAGAGAAAGGACAGTCATTGTGTTTACTCCTATTTTTAGAGTAATATAATTCCTTCCATGTGATGAGTCAGGTCCCAATCTATCACTGTGAGTAAAGTTGAAGTTAAGAGTTTCTCTGAATATAACCAGCTGGAAACTAAGATCAGAGTCTGGCTGTTTCACAACGTGACTGACATACCACTCCACAGCCAAATTCCCAACAGCAAGCCAACATTTGGCAGCTGGGAAAGAGGGCAGGGGATGGTGATGTGACACACTGGCCTAGATTAGTAAATTAGAATGGTTTAGGGAAGGAAAAAAAAAGGTGTCTGCACCTTCCCAGTACATGGACAAGAACTTAATGCTTGAGGAGGTGACAACTTAAGGTGGTTGAAAGTGTGAACAGTGTTCTCAGAAGGCACACATCCAGACATCGGAAGTGCATCTGTCTGTACCTGGATTATACAGAGAGTGGATCCAGGGGCAGAAGAGGGGATGGAAGAGGGGAGGAGATGGACACAGGCACAGACCGAGAAAAACTCACCCTTTTGACACTCTTGTCACAGGAGAGACAGAAACTGCAATAGACTACACTTCTGAAAGAACTACAGGCAGACACAGCAGCAGTGTGGTTTCCACAGCATATGTTTTTGGGGAATGGCAGAGGGCAGAGGAGGTGAAGGTCAGCCTCTTCCCATGCCAGAAGCAGCTGACTGGCCTGGATACCAGCTTTGGCTGGCACTGTGCTGTGCCTTCTCTCTTGCACCCCTAGGGGAGGGAAGCAGGGGCAGCCCACATGTCACAAAATGAGATTATTAGAAACGTGTCTCAGCACCCACAGCGTCGTGGTGCTGACCCTCATTTTAAGGTGAAGTTATGCTACAGGCAGAGCTAATCTACCAGCTGGCTTCTGCCAACCAGGGAAAGAATGCCTCTCGTACTCGCTTAGCTGCTCCTTGCTAAGCCAATCCAGCTTTCTAACCCAGCAAACTGTTCACTTCTGTCTCTCTGAATTCCACTACATACATGCATTGGCTAAGCTTAGGAACAGAGAAGTGGCAGGAGAAGGAAAGGAAGATGGGAGAGCATACAGATATGGAAGCAGAGGAGGAAGGAACAGAGAAATGAGGAGCCAGACAAGGGGCAAAGAGGTGAAATTCAAAGGTATCAGGAAGTGAAGAGTCCATGGTCTTGCAGTAGAGCAGAGGTAGGAAAGATGTCAGTATTCCTGGTCCAAAGAAACACCTACCATAAGCTGCATAATGACTTATTTCAGAATACTAAATCTTACAAAGAAGGATAAAATAGTGAGGAAGGTCATAGAGCACCAGGTGTCCCTCCACGTGAGGGGTTTGAGAAAATCTGACTGAGAAAATGTACAATATAATTATTACAGAAAAGAGACCAAGAAGTGATAAGCAACCACCCATATGCCCTAGAAATACATTCACATACTTCTATTGTGAAATCAGTGAGTGTCTGTAGGTGGCAGTGGCTGTCACTAGAGTGAGGAAAGGAGAATTGGTTTAAAGGGAATAAAGGCTGTGGTGTCTTGTATGTGGCTCTCAGCTTGTCACTGGCCTTGTCTCTAAGTGAAGATCAAAGAGGAGGATTATTCAAACTTCTGTGATTTAAAGTTGAGCCAAAGGATGAATAAATGAAGTTTTATATCAGTTCCAACTAAAGTACAAACAACACAGCACAGTTTTTTTGCTGTCAGAAAACTCAATCTTATGGTAATAATAAATAAACAGGAATAGTATAATAAACAGGAATAATAAACAGGAATAATACAATAATAAATAAACAGGAATGTGACAGTTTCAGCATTTGTCAATGACAAAAGAACAGCTTTAACTCTTATAATTAACTTTAATAACTAATTTACTTCCAGTAAGGTAAAATATTCAAACTCATTTGGTTGGTATGTTTTAACATTACCAAAACCATGTATTTGATTGAAATGTTTGAATTTTCACGCTGAAATATTTCCAAGTAACCATTTATTCTCTTCTTCATAGCAAAATAAAAGGAGTCTGAGTTCAAATTCTAAATTAGAATGCAATCATAGTTTAAAATAATAGATTTTCTCAGAGGAAGGAAGCTGTAAAAATATTTAAAAATGGAGCACAAAACAGCTACAAGAGGATGTATTGATTCTGTTTTCATTCTTAATCTTTTTTGCGGATACAAGAATAGGATTTATCTGATATTAATATCAGGTCAAGAGGAAAAACATGCTAGGGAAAGGTTCATATCAAACTACAAAATGTTTAAATGGAGGCATGCTGCAGTGAAACAAAAATTTACCAGACCATCAGCACACTGTATGAACTTATAATGCTTGTTTGAGAAATCTGCTTCAGTCTTCACAATTTGGTCAAAGCTCTTTGTATGGATTTGTTTCCCTAATGACAAAGTCCAAACATGCATACTTTTCCAAGTAAAATCTGTATTATGAAATGTTATGGATTATTAATTTAACACTAGACAATGAGCCCTGCAGTATGTATTTGATTGAACTGGTTGACTCAAGTAGAAAAACCACATATGTACAATGAGTATGCAATTTTTGGGGGAAACAACAACACAAAATTCTCTGGCAGTCAGCACTGAACTATAAAAATAACTCTGAAATGAAGTCACTCTACATACAATGTCAAATTCCTGGATGAGCTGCTTCAGACAGTTTCAAAATGATTCAGTTGTGACAGGGAAATCAGATGCTTGTATTTCAGCAGATGAATCTTGGAATGGGCTAAAATGTAGAGAAATTTGGGCACCACAGTGTTTTAAATTAGGCCTTCAGTTTCTTCCTGTGGAGGCCTAGAAAAGTTTCTCAAATGATGCAGACTGTGATGCTAACGTTACTTATGCAAATTGTCTCTAGCTGAAGAAGTAACCCTAGTTGCATTTTAATTATAAACATTAATGGCTTGAGGGGGGTGGGAATCTTTCAATTGTTATCTTACATGCTCTCAAATCCCTCATTAATTTGTCTGTGTTGGTTGAAGGATTGTTGTACAATAGTGAGAGAAGTGTGAAGTTCTGACAAATGCTTTTTCTGTAGAGAGATGGTAGTTGAACTGTTCCTTTGCCATCACACTCTACACTGTTGTTGTATGAAACACAGGCCTTAATTCTCTGAAGCCTTATGCTCATGCTTAAAGGATGTACTTCAGGGGCTCCAGTCAAAGGAAAGATTTTCACTGACTTCACTTGTCACTGTAAAACCAGAGTGTGAGTTTGTGTGTACTATAAGAAATTGCTTTTCATACAGCTGTTTCAAAATTGATAAGGAGTTGCACTGTTCTGAGCATACTAACGAGTGTCTGAGGGCATTAGGCAACTTCTAGTATTCTACATGTGGAAAACAACAAATGTGACTACAGGTATGTGCTTAATTTCTTGCCAGGTTGGACAGGACTTTGAGCAACCTGGTCTAGTGGGAGGTGTCCTTGCCCATGCAGGGAGTTGGAACGAGAATCTTTAAGGTCCCTTCCAACCCAAAACACTATACCTTTGTTCTTCATCTTTGCTGTTTTCTTCAGTCAAAGGTGGAGTAGAGGCCCCTTCTCTTGACGTATTTTAGCAGGAGAACAGCAGCAGTCTGCATCCTGTCATTCACCACCCAGGTTAGCATCCTTGCTCAGGACCACAGCTCTCTCCTCACCTCAAACATTACCACAACTACCTGCAGTCTCTCTTCTCATTACTGCTGCTCCTCAACTGAAGTTCAGGCAGCCATACCACACAGGTGGCATGTCTTGTTCCAGTTAATCACTGCTGTCCTGTTTCATGGGCATAGAACTACACTTTGTATTTCTGGTACAAATTTTATACTATTTTCTCACTGAAAAGCATAGAACAGTTAGCTGCCTAAAATAACTGACAGGAGGATGATGAGAATGGATGGTTACTTTAAGCCAGTGAGACATGCATAGCTTAGATGTCTTTCTCACTGACCTTAAATAACATCCTTCCTCTATAAACAAAAAGAAAAAGCTCTCTATTCCTGTTAAAGCTGATCAATAGGACAAAGAGCCTTCCCCAAGTCTTCCTGCTTGCACTATAATTTAATGATTAAAGCATAGGTCCAGGCTGAGGAAGGTCACTTATCAGAATTCCTGTAACAGCTGGTTGGCCTGTAGATGAAGCCATAGCCAGCTCTGATGGTTTCAGCCACTATTCTCTAGCTGTGTTCTGGAATAGCTGTTCTGTATTTCCAGCTCCTCAAAAAGAATCCTCAGAAACCTTTTAGGAAAAGCCAGATTCCCTAAATTGTATCTTTCTTTCCTCCCCATTTTTAGAAGGCCTAGAGGCTACAGAATTAATTTAGTGTGACAGGCCACAGTGGGCACCAGCTGGTTGCCCAACATCTTCACAACTCAGGGACAGCTTCCATTAAGTCCCTCAAATCTCCAGTACAGCTGAGTTGAACAGAAAGGTCCCTAAACCCTGTGCAGTGTACAGTGTACATCACCCCCATCTAGGCTGCCTGCCCTCCTGCCTTGGGTCTCTCAGCTCCTCTCACCCTCTGCTATGTGCCAAGGAATGCCTTTCCCCTGTCAGCTGGCAGCAAAGAAGCTTGTCCGTGGTGAGGTCATGGGTGGTTAGCTATCCAGCAGCAGAAGGCCTGAAGTTGAGAAACACCCCAGAGGGAAAAAGGTATTTCCTGGCAGCGTAGTTCCTCCAGCTGGTCTACTGCTTATGGATGCCTGTATGAGCACAGCCAAGGGTGGCAGAGGGCTGGTAGTGACTGCTTATGTTGGTATTGCCCAAAATCTCACTAGAAAGGTTTTCTTTGCAAGACAAACTGCATGAACTCCTTTAGCCAACCTTCTGTGGCACTTGTGAAGTCCCTGCTCCTTTTGTGCTGGAATTGCTGTCATCCAGCCTGTGGCTTGGTTTAGCTACCTGCAAGGTTCCTTCCCTTCTCCAGCTGGAAGGAAAAAAATCCAAGAATTTCAAATCCCCAGAATTTAAAGAATCAAGGGAACTAGGACTACTATAACAAAGGCCTATATTTATGCACAGTGTGGATGTTTATATTCCACACACTCTGCTGACAGCATGTTAACCTGTATTCAGCTGCATAATCTCCTCTACAGAATTTCTAACCACATTTCCAAATGTTAACAAGGGGCTAATGCATGCTAAGCAGTTTACTGGTTATTATTTACACAAGCAACAATTTCCTTTTATTACAAATTACAGTTCCACACTGTTCTCATGAGTTTCCACCTCTTAGGGGTGCTGAATGAAGGACCAACTCTTCCTGTGTCCATATTTCTCTGCAGAATGGAAACCTCTGTAAGCAGGTGACTAGAAATTATTTATCATATATATTTCCTCACTGTGCTGTAAGACAAGATTCAAAATGCATCATAACTCTTGGGAACCATTCTGCCAGAGAAACTGTTCCTTACGTACACACCTACTTCTAGAATAATTCCCTAAGTATTGGTCTTAGAGATGGGAAGATAAATATCTAGTCTTTAGAGCAATAACAGGATTGAAGTTTTTTCTTAGGTCAAGACCAAGGAGGAGGGTTTGCTGAGATTCTGTCTCAGCAGCTGTTATAAGGTGCTAATTATTAGGCTTTTTTTATGTCAAGTTATTCAGTCTTTAAGAGGCAGCATTATTTGCCACCTAGCAGTTAGCAGATACAGTAATATCCATAATTGCAATTGAAAATAATAGTATAGTTAATGTAGAATAGACAAAGCTTAAGAAAGAAAACCATAGCCCAGTTACAAACAGAAAAAGAAACTTGCGCTCTGCAAGACAAGATTTGGAAAATCTAACTCTGGTGGCTGTCTGAATTTTCCCCCTCAGTTTACTAGCCATACGCTGTTTCTTAGAGTTCTGTCTTAAAGAAGAACAAATCCTTCAAAAGTATCTAATAAAAAAACCTGAGGTTGCAAGTGAGAAATGGGAATGGTCATTGCTGTATCTCATTTCTAGGATGTATAAAGCATTATGGGATCTTTTGCAACAAGCTGTTGCCACACATATTAGGCCATGAAGTTATGAAACAATAATAATGTGAAAATATTTTTTAAAATGGACCATGTTCATGTGAAACAGTATTAGGCTATTTGTTCTGTGCAATAGTTCTGAAATTATGAAGAGTAAAGGCAATGGCTATGATATCAGACCTGAGAAGCAAATTGTAATTCTCAGAATTTATCCATTTAATTCTGAGAATGAAAACACAGATCACACGAAGGAATTCAAGATATGAAAACTGATTATTGCTCCTACCAGGACCAGTTACACTGGTTTCCAGCCACCCTTCAATATAAAAATATGCTAAGTGCTAAAGGATTTTTTTCTTCTTTTAGGAATAAATTCACAAAGCAAGACACTGGGCACAGAACTCAGTCACTGTTTTCATTCCTTCAGTGTGAGGCGAATAGCTCTTGGCTATAGGTGAGTGGATTACATGCTCTTTGGATTAACTAGACCTTTACCAGCAGCACAGTGATGCTGAGTGCATGATGCATGTGCCCCTTGCACTGTGCTCTTCTCTACCTGCTGTCGTTTAAACTACATTATTTTCTTGAGTGAAACGTCTTTACAAACAAGCTGGTCAAAGCAAATGCACTCAGTGTGTTTTGTTAGTTAACATAGGTTTTGTCTTTTCTACATTTAGATTAACACATTTCTCCCTCCCACATCACTTGGAGTAAGCAAGGGCTGGCAGCGGAATTAGCATTTCGACAGATAGAATGTTTAGGACAAGGGATGCACCTGCATGTGAAAACTTCCTGTATATTTTGAGATTCAGCAGTATTCATAGAAGAGTTGTACACAGTATCAGCCAAAGTAACCAGAGAAAGCAGAGAAAGTGCTTTCAATATAGCTTCTAAAATGAAGTTCCCAGTTTTCTAAGAGCATAGAGCTTGAAACAGGGCCGGTAAAGAAAATTTTCAAAAGCTAAACCCCACTGCCCCCATGCTTCAGCTGTACTACAGAGAAAATGGGTGAATACCTCTACAGAATGACTTAATGTGGATCCTAGCAAAAGGTATATTGCATGGATGGTTGATGATTTTTCCCCCTTTAAAAAGATTATGGCAGAAGCCTGCAGAAAACTCCAGAGGCTGCTTTATCTATCTGGTTCTGGATTTTGTATTTCTCTTTTCATATAGATCTTTGTAGTTAATTTCCCTTTGCTCAACCAGAGCCTGTTGGTCCATAGTCACAAGTGAAACTCAGAGAACAGACCTCTTAGTTTAATTTAAAGCAGTCATTAGGATTACTCTGTGAAGCTTAGAAGCTGCACTAAAATTGCTCAAACTGCCAGTATCTACTGTATCCGATGTGTACAAACCAACATTTTAGATCATCCTGTTAAATTTCTACAGCTTTACTATCCACTACTATAATCCCTTAGGAACATCATCACCACACTATTAGTCCAAACCTCGAAATTTTACTCAAATAAGAGAAGATCAGGCCCAAGGGAAAAGCAGCTTGGTAGCTTTCACTAAAATGACCTACTTTCCCTCTCTTGACAAAGAAACCTGGGAGTAGGTAACTTGAGACCTTTGCAAGCTTAATGGGCCGTGATATGACATGCAGAGAAAAAAAATCCACACAAAGTGCCTGTGTCTTTGCTGCTTGTTTTAAACATTGTTTTAAACAACTAGAATCCAATAAGGGAACAAGAACAATTTTTGTACCTCGTGTAGTTTCTGTGTGAAGGTTAGTATAGAGTGTAGTGAGGATATTTCAGTTGGTGCTACAAACAGCCTTAAAACTGTCAAAAGTTATTTTGGCCAGGAAAGTTGAAATATCCTTTCTCTATTACTGCTTCCCAGCATACAGCCCGGTGGCAGAAGTTCAGGTTATGATCAGTATTTGTCCTCAGCTCACCTCCCTCTGTAACTCAACACTTTTCCATTCCTGTCCTGTGGTTCCTCATGCATTTTAAGTAAAGGCTGGTCAACAATCTTCTGGCCACCGATCTGGTAGGATTTCCCTTATGATCTGCCCAAGTAGAATGATTGCATAGGTTGATCATAAAAAAGGGGTAAAATTAATCTTTATTATTGTTTCTAATTTCTGTGATGAAATGGCATTTTGAGGGGAGCATAAACAGGAGTTGCCTGAATAAAAAAGACAGCATAGCTTGTACTTTTTCTCCCCTGCATGCAGTTAAACAAGAGGGATAAACTTGCAGCATCCCACATAAGAGGTCTCAAAGGGAGTTTAAGCAATAACTTAGTTTTGCTCTTTGATCCTTTTAGAGAGAAGAGGACAGGGCTTTCTATCATGATACACGGTTGCATTATGAATGCTTGGTGTTTCTTCAGAAAAAGTTCTCAGTAGAGCATTCCCAGAAAAGTGCTAGGCAGAGATGAGGCCTTGGCGTTTTAAGATTAGGTAGATTATCACTTGATAAAGGCAGGAATTTTAAGACTAGGTAAATTATCACTTGATAAAGGCAGGATGATGTCACACACACCCACGACAGACTGTACTAGCAAGTTAAGGCAATTTTCTGGTGCTCCAGGAATTCTAATAGGTGCTCAGTCAGCCTTCTGCAGGAGCACTAGGCTATTGATCTGGCTTAGCACTTGTTAAGTCAGGCATCTCCTCCAACTTTGGAACTGGCCTTCCTGAGTGATACTAGGCCAACTTTACAACTACATTCCTTTCCACCTCCTCTGAAAATAGCTATCAAGATACATATTCTAAGTATATTCTAAAACGCTTAATGGAAAGTGAGAGATCAACGATTACTAAAGAATCC